AATAGTGACTTTAAGCGGAAAGTGTCCGTCGAAAGTTTGGCAACAGTCCAGATTTCTTCCGAAATTTTCGGAAGCTTCATGGATTATCTATGGTAGGGCATTATCTGCTCGTATAAGCATAGCGTATTCGCCTTCCATTTCCTTGCTTATTTCATCAATAACAACCAAAGTGTCTACACATACCCATCAAGTACTTTATAAGTGCGAATCAGTGCTGAAACTCATTGGAACTTGTGTGAAGCATGGCTTTGTACCCCTCTTGAAGGGAAATCTTGTTTCAACGCTGCACAGTCTAAAATGAACAGGACGAAGGTGGACCTCGATCGGAACAACATCTACCTATGATCGCGTTGGCCATAAAATCTCTGCAGATCGCTGAATATCCAACCAAACTTGCGAGTTGGCCATAAAATCTCTGCAGATCGCTAATGGAATATCCCTCCAAGCTTGCGAGTGTGCCTTGAAGTCAAGCTACTCCGGATAAAGCTTCTGACACATATGTACATCGAACCGAATTGTTGCTGAAAAAATTTAAAAGCCTGTCCACCAGTCTCCGTGTAATTAAGATTGTGAGCTACGGGGAACGAATATTTTTCCGTTTTGCATGAAAAGCTTCGGAACTAGTGGATCAGTATGAAACTATTTTTAGGGATTTTTGAATACCTCTATAAATATGGAGAGCCGTAGATCGGAACAACACACAGAACAACCTCTCGATCCCTTAATTTATACCATCCATCCCTTCCCGGAGCAACCAAACTTGATCCCTTTAATCTTAAAAGGGGACCACCGATTTCTACTGCAAAATCGTTGCTTGTAGTCCTCCTTATATTAGATTTATACTTTGCTAACCGTGCGCAATGTCCCCGTCAGAGCAACAAGGCTTAAAGGGAACGGGATCGATATTGAGTTCCCCATTACAATGAAAACAAGGCTGTTCAGATTCCGACACTATCTCAACCCCAATCAGAATATGAGCAATGCCCTTGCCTTATCTAGTGCCGTCTATCACCATCTAGTGTCCCCTTCACCTAGTGGCTTCACTGTTATCAGTTGTTTACCGTTACTCGGATTGATCGTGTTTGGTAATCACTGCCATTCAGTGATTTCATCCGAGTGGTCAGCATACTTATGCGAGACGACATTTTTCGAATTTTATCACTCTTAGCAGACCACTGTGTGGATTTGGAAGCAGTTGAACTTTGTCCAAACGCACTTAGCTTTCCCTGGTTCACCAACAAGTCGTTGCTTCGTGGCAGCACAAATGTTTCCACATCCTGACTCATTTCAGATGAGGGTTTTATTACTGCTCTTTTCATTGGCATTGCTCTCGTCCAGCAAAATACTCAGGTGAGCGTTTAATGTAAATTCGACAGTGGAAGATAAAGTTCAAACACTGCTTTCACCCTAGTTCTCGAAACCATCGGCACCCCTCTGCAGAAGGCGAGATTCATGCTCTACTGGTAGCCGGTTCGAATGGATGGTATAACTACCGTCATCAGGTCAGCAGAACTTTTGCTGTGGAGAGTTTTTCCCCTTTCTATCCCGGGTCAATCCGATATCAATAAAACAGAGAGCATTCCTAGAACGTTAAGATCTTGCTGCTGAATTTTCTTCCCCTTCGATTATTTCAAATTTTCTAACTACTACTTATTTTTGGGTTTTCACACCGAGTCGATGCCTATATTTTGCATGTTCTACTTCATCTTTCAAAATTCACAGATTTGATTGGTTCCCTGCGGCAACGAAGAGCCGATAATTGCCTAAAAAGCTGTCTCCATGGCCAATATATACGTATTTTTTTNTTTTTTTGAGGCCGACGTTGGTCATGCTTACCATACACTCAAACGTCATGGACTTGCTGATGAGAACATTATTGTAATGATGTATGACGACATAGCCCACAATAAGCAGTATGTTACCGATTTTGAAGCAAAGAATATTCTCAAAGAATGATGTATTTACAAGCAGTCCTTTTGAGGAACCCATATCCCGGAAAGATGTTCAACCGACCGCACGGTGACAATGTGTATGAAGGATTGAAGATTGATTACAAAGTCAGAAGCTCTTTGACTGCCTTTTTTTACTTTTATTTTGTCAGCCGACATGCTTTTCGAAGTTCTTCTTCCTTACAGGGCTCGTCAGTAACTCCCAAAAACTTTCTCAACATTCTCAAGGGTAATGCAAGTGGTGTCGAAGGTGGAAATGGACGCGTCATCGAAAGGCAAGTTACGAGTTGGCTACTGAAAATTTTCGAAAATTATTGTTTGATTACAGTAATCCGAATGACAGGATTTTCGTCTTCTTCACTGATCACGGAGCTGTGGGAGTTATTGCGTTCCCAGACGAAATGGTACGAGCTACGTGATTAATGCATAAGATCTCAGAAATTTGAAGAAAAAAATGCAAATGATCTCCACTAACATAAATGGTCATCCCACATGTGTGGCAAGGCTAGGTTGTGGAATGGGTTTCCCTATAAAGTGGCTGAGCTTAGAAGGACTATCAAGTACCCCTCCCCTTACCTCCTTCTTCGTCCTTGTAGTGTTACCCGCACTTCTATAAGGTACAGACAACTTTTCTTGCCCTCTTCCGTTTGAGAGATCGGATCGCAGGTATTGTAGTTGAGCAAGTATTATTAACCATCTTTGACGGATTAACCATCCCTTTCGGATATAGCGACGGATGCCAGTGTTCAGAGAGGAGCACTCTTCTAATAATGCTGCCAGAGATAGTCTGACACCTTAGGGTTCGAGTCAAAAAGGAAAGCGCTAGAATGCCATTCTTCTCAGTCGATATTCACCCCAATTTATGCCGTCCACTCTGGCAGACAGAATCAATCTCAAAAACAAACAGTCGCAAATGTTCGAAGACTCACATAGGCATTTAGCTAATATGATTACGGTGGTGCCATCAAAATCTTTACCACAAAATATCTTCCTTTCTCGAATTCTCTGCTTTATATGCATTGGCAGAACCCAATTTGACAGCTATGCAATGTTACAGTTGACAGTGAAGGAGCTGAACAAGGCCTTAAATTGGATGCACTCTAACAACCGCTACGATCAATTGGTGTTCTACTTGGAATCCTGTGAAAGCGGTTCCATGTTCGAGAATGTCTTGAAGAGTACCATAAATGGTAAGTTTATTGGAAAAGTAGCTCAATAGCCTCAATGACCTATCCCGAAGACTCGCCTTTTTTGTTCCCACATACATGTTCCTTTTTCGAACGTCACGGTTGAAAACTTTCGTAGCCCGTGAAAACAGTTTAGCAGCTTAGATGTCTTCCAGTTTCGCATGACAGGGGGAAAACTGAAAGTACCAAGTGTTTGTCTATGCTCTGAAAAGTATCCCAAATCTGATGCTCGCCAAAAGTGGTTATTTAACATTGACCGCTTAACCATTATCACCTGTATCACCTGTCGTCCCGCTGACCGATTTACTCCAACGGGCGCTAGTAACGTCTCTTCTCTGTCGCGAAAACATGTGCTCGGGTAGACGTTTTTCGTCTAACGCAAAGAAACACAGCATTCTCTAGTTCAAAGCCACCCAGAAGTAGTGCTATCGGACTTCCGGTTGTCCTGTTGTTTGGCATCCGGGATCCAACCACAGGGCGCCTTGGTTACCCGTCATCATAAAATCGCAGGTGTCCGTCCCACTTAGTGCTCGTGGCGTGAGCAATGGCACCCTTGATCTTCGTTAGTTGACGAAGCTCGGAGTTACGGATACCCCATGCAACGTCATAATAAGCTGTAAACTGTGAATTAATGTTCTTGCCTTCGGTACAAGTCTCCAACCTCTCTTTCTCTCCCTTCTACTCCTCACAGTGTGGGAACCTTTTACAAGCAAACCATAACCCTTAACAAAAGCAACTTTGGAAGAGCTATTTCAGTATACGCAATCACGGCAGCGAACTCCCATGAATCTTCATGGGGGACATTCTGTGAAAATGACATGCGTCTACCCTGCCTCGGTGACCTCTTCTCAGTGAACTGGATGAAGGATTCGGATGAGGTGAGACTTCCAGTGCTTAGGAAGGAACATGATATGGAACTCTAGCATCCCTGCCCATTATCAGCCTCAGACTATTGGCCGAATACTTTTCAGGAAGATATTAACGTCGAGACAATTGAAGACCAGTATAAGCTGGTAAAACGTTTGACGAACCTATCGCATGTGATGCATTTCGGTGATATGAAGATCGGCAAAGAACCAGTTGGCTGGTTCCAAGGCCAACGTAAGGCTCATAAGAAGAGAATCGGTTCTGTAGATGATGTGAGTTCAGTAAGATTTACTGATGTAAGCCATAATGCCATGTAAGCCATGTAAGCCAGCCAAAAAGCCATCAATCTGTTACAGGAATCATCTCGAACCCTATCGTGGCCGTCAAGAGATGTTGAGCTCATGTACCTGCACCAACTTAAAGACTCCACAAACGACATCTACGTTGCCAAAGAACTTAGCCGAAGGATTCGTCAAATTCATGAGGTTATTTAGCAGTTCTTTCACGAACGTTTAGCGTCAAGAAGGCATTAGATTGAATTTGTGTGATGAGACTTTTAGCTTCTTCACGAAAAAGTACGCTACCCGCATCTGTTTTGAGATTCGCACTTGAGTAAATATTAATTCAGCCACAAAGTGGAACCAGACCCGTTTAGGAGAGGAAAACGCGACTTCTTCATCAGGACCCTAGCAAGCCATAGAATAAGCTATATATGCATACAATGCGCTACTACAATTCTGAATGGAAGTCAAATACGGGGCGCATTCCAGAGTGGAATTCGTTAACGTCAAACGGCACTATTTCTCTGAGCTTAAATAATGAATGGCAAAACTAAAAAAAGGAGAGAGCAGCAAATTTTCAAAGTTCACCCTTCAATGTCATGCACATCTTTCCAAGGGCATAAGTCGCGTCAGTAGAGAGCATCTCATGCTTCCGATCCAATTGCAAAAATTTAGTGAATAAAAAAAATTAGCGGCCTGCCGGAGAGTAATGGCAAATGTTTTAGGATCGACGGGCCATTAAATCTTTGGTTTTGAACATCATCGACAGCCTTGTGGGAACTTTGGCTGACAGGTATGAATCTTTACATACTAAAATTATCGACTTGGTTGAGAACACATATTGATGATCTGATATGCCCTTGAACAGCTTACCGAACGACCTCTATCATTTCAGACGTCGTATATTGGAGGAACGGAACACTGTGGAGAATCTGGATTGCCATGATGAAGTCGTACGAGCGTTCGATTTGATCTGTGTTGATGTAAATAAGGTGAATTCCCAACAGAAGTGCCTACGGAGGTAGTGAAGCCTAAATAAGGTGACAGGCTAGCCTACACCTTTGTGAATACTGGTAACTACAGCTCAATTCATTCCAAAGTAGTTATTTATTTCAGTTTAATTGGAAGAGGTTTAGAGAAGGGAAGATTAAAACAGGACTCCTATGCCATACTAGTTCGACCCTCCAGATGACCGTGGCACTCCTCCAGTTGATACATTGATTAATTGTACAACATTCAAGCAACTGGAAATGGAACATTCATTTGAAATCATGGCTTCTTGATTCATGGGCCTAGCAACCGGTCCCGATTCAAATCTTGAATGGACCACATCGCCTAGAATGGTCCCGAATGAAGGCCAAATCACAGCGCATGTAGTATTCTGGAAAAAAGAAAGTGCAGCAACTAAAAGCGCCTTCGAATACCCAAAACAAACACTCCAGAAATTTAGTTTAATCAGCCAGTTGACCATACGGGCCTTTGGGAAAAGCAGTAATTTTTGAGATACCAGAATTCAAGTGTTAGATACATGATTCATTCCGAGTAAGTACTTAGAAAATCTCATAGGACATTTCGAACAACTGACAACAACTATGTACTGCTTCGATTTCAGTACGAATATGCGCTCAAATACTTCTATGTGCTGAACAACTTATGTATCGAAATCGGTGACGCGGAACAAATTATGGCGGCAATGTGGACAGCCTGTTCGAGAAGCCGCTTCCAATTCTTTTGATTTTTGACTTTTCCATTATTCCTTTTCGTCATGTTCATTTGCTTGTATAGCCGAAAAAAAAACGTGTGTTGACAACTCACTTATTAAATCATTTTGACAATGAAAACATTAAACTTGCCTTCTACAGCCTATTTCCTTGTTTACGATGATTAGAATGGAAGTGTGCGCGACCCCTGAATATATCGAATCTATCGGATCCCCTATGAGGGATTGAATTGAAACCTGGGTCAGAAGATCGGGATAGATATGAAGATGAAGCGAAGATATAGATGATAGAGGCAAGAGTGACAGAGTAATCAAGAGTGTAGGCCAGTCTCCCTTTAAAAAAAGTTCGACCTCTGCCGTGGTAGAAATTCTTGCAAACGATACGATTGGTGTCGGTAACAGCGTCAGGCGCGACACGCTTTCCCATGAAAACACATAGCCACATAATCATGCCTAAGTTTCTAAAACAGCCAGTGATGATGCTAGGACGTCACCCGGGAGTGGTGCACTGAACGCTGAAGGAGTTCTTTTGACCGTATGTGGGGTTACCAGGAGGCGAACGAGCTCCATGCGAGCAGAGTCTAATCGAGCCACTCATCATCAGTGTTCCCATTCCACTGCCTGTAGCCCTACCGAAATTGATCGCTCTAGAGTCTACGAGTTATGAATTTACGATCAGACGTTTATTTCGCGCGCGCCCCGCCCCCTGTAGGCGGGATCTAAATCTGCCACCCACCATAAGTGTTCCCATCCTGCCGCCTGCACTCCTACCAATGCAAGAATTCAGCTAGTTTAGACAGCGAAAGGCTCCCACGCTAGCCACTGAGCCAATTAGCAGACTGGATATAATGATGTCAAGGTGCAGTACTTTAATTGTTCGCTATTTTCTTGCCTTGACTGCCATGATGTATAGCGGCCAGATATAATAACGGAGCGAAGAAGATAGTATAAGGCAAGGCGAAGTTGGATGTGTCCTTCCTGCTCCAGAACTGTGTAAGAGAAATAGATTCCCTCTGCGACTTCGCTCCGAGAGTCATCAGCAGTCAGGCGACACGTACGATTTCTGGCTCACAGAAAGAAATCTACTTTACGTAACAGAAACTGACCTTTTCCTTGCTGAGCTCTCCTTTTCAAGCGATCCTTCACAGTTCTGCCCATGGGTCTCATATAATGAAATCTCCTTCGCACTCTGCATTGTTCGCACCGACCCTGCAGAACTCAGAGCCGACGATCAGTCACCTATTTGATACTAGCTTCGATAGCTACACAACTAGGCCCCTTATCATGAGTGGTCCGACAGGTTTTCCATTCCGTTAACTTGCGACCACATCTTGAAATATTTTACGATCACTTGAGCGGTGCTCATTTAATCTTTAAAAGAAGGGTCTGCAAGGCTGAAGAGCCCTTTGGCCTCGACCACCCCCATATCTGAGTGGTCGAAATCTACCGGAGAAACAATGGGCGACAATATAATTGCAGATGTAACTAAGAGTTCGTCATACTGAAAGACAGCCAGACAGATATTTCTAAGCCATACTTTAAAAAGTAAGTTGGCACACAATTTCCAGACAACTTTGAGTACTTTGGGTGGTGGTGTAGTGGCAAGTGGCGCACTTCACACATGCATGGTCAGAGGTTTGGAACCCGGACCGATTTCCGCATAGGTCGAAGAAGCTTTCCATCCTTCCGGGAACGGCTAGTTGGTACCAGACTCGTCTGGAAGGATAAAAGCACTGAGTTGTACATTGACTGGTCACGGCAAGTCATTGTATCAGCCATACACTCATTAAATACAATTTCGAATGTAGGTCATATGCAGGGGCCTTTCTCAAACACACCCAGCGACACCCAAAGACTTAAATTAAAGACTTCGAGTACTCTGAGATTTTTCATCTATTATTAACATATTCAATCAATACAAGACGCGTTAACGTTATTCAAAACACACTGCTTAGGCTTGAGTAAATTTTCGATGCCTCTCCTATGAGACTTCATTGTCTCCTAAAAAAAAAACAAAATCAACAGTTGCTTTCAATTTCATATCTGCTGGCGAAAAAATTTTTCTACGAAGTAGGTTTCACCATCCACCAGTTATATCATGGGTCCAGGTGACCACCGCATCTACGTAATATGTTCTGCTAAACCCTATCAAGGTTTTCTCATCAGAGATCAGTACAGGGCGATTAAAAGTGTTGTATGAGCTATACAATAACAAAAATAAAGAACAAAACGAATCAGAATGGAACACTCCGCAGAAAAAAATGTAGATCTCGTGATTCCAGTATGGGTCAATAACAGGAATCAGAAAGAAACAAACAAGGGGGAAATGTGGATCTTATGATCCGGTCAACGGTCAAACACAGCACGTAATAGACAACTCTAGTGAGGCATGCACCGAAAAGAACGTGAAGAATAGGGAAGGTTAGAGAAATATAACGAACTGAAATGTTGCTCTAGGCAACACGTTTGAGTTATCAGTAAAATAGAAACTAACCATGGCATATTTCGTTTTGAACATATCTGATTCAGGGTTCACATGCATATTGTGCTAACACCAAGGCACGGGCAGGGATGTAAAATGAAAAAGGACACAGGTCATTTAATAGTGCCTCTAGGCAAATTTGAACCTATGAGGCATCACATCCAGTTCAAGCTCAAAAACAAATCAACGCATGCAATAAATAAAAACCTATAAATACACTGAGCGATTATCGCTCCAAATCCATCAGTAGCTCTCATCTTTCCAACCGATAGCTTGTTTCTCAACCAGTTTCTTGAATATTCCGTCTTCTATCTCCATAAGATAATCAAAACTGCCCTGCTCTGCTACACTTCCTCTGTCCAAAACCACGATTTGGTCAGCATGTTTAATTGTAGACAACCTGAATACAAACAAAAATGCTACAAAATGTAAAGGGATTCACTTTAAAAATGTTATGTAATGCTGATTTTTTGGTTGTAAAAATCAAACAAGTTTATTTTCTACTTGACTCCTAGGAGGTCTACCTGTGAGCAATGATAAGCACGGTTTGTTGGCTGTTTTCCAGCAACCGATTGAGAGCTTTTCTGACCAAATACTCTGAAGAGGCGTCTAAAGCGCTCGTTGCTTCATCGAGGATTAGGATACGTGGGTTCTAGAATATACTTTGATCACGGCTAATCAACAGAACGTCATACACAAAACTTAAACTTACAGTGATCAGCGCTCTGGCAATTGCAATTCGTTGCTTCTGGCCACCACTTAACATTGACCCTTGTTCACCAACCTGTAACGTATTAACCATTCAACAAAGGAAACCGAGAAACCGTCGGAGACACACTGTATAAATTCCAAAAACTGACCAAAGTCTCGAATTTTTCCGGAAACGCTTGGATAAAGTGCAGGGCATTCGATTGCTCTGCAGCCTCCTCTATCTGAAAATCGACTGACATGTTCATTGTGGCATGAGCTGCAGCTGCGAGTTTTTTCCTGTTTAGTATATACCTGAGCGTCTGTGATCTCCTCAGGATTTTGTGCACCATAAAGTATATTTTCTCGAATGGTCGTTGAAAACAATATTGGTTCCTAAAAAACTATAGTCAACATTTACGATCTCCTGCAACTTGCCACAAAAACACTAGGTGGGTTTACATCGTAATAAATACTTACCTGTCCTACAGTTCCAATTTGTCGTCGCCAGTAGGAGGGATCAGTTTCCTTCAAATCAACATCATCAATCATGATGCGACCACGGTCCGGATCGTACAGCCTTCAATTGCTTCAAATATTTAGCCGATAGTGTATTAGTGTACAAAAGTGCTATGTACGGGTTCTTGATCTATTGTGAAGCACCTGAATCACCCACTTCCCTCCCCTTCCCAAAGCTTGATCTAAATTTTGGCAAGACTTTGCAGGTTTTCTTTCACCTTTATGCAGAATACTACTAGTAGCGAAGGATCGCTGTTTCTTACGGCACGCCCCAGGCAGTAGTTAGAGAACTCAGGCATGAATGCAAGGACGGTGCTATTTAGTGAAAGCCCTTACATAAAAAGCGTGAGTAATAGTTAAGAGCCCGACCGCAGTGGGTTGGTAGAAAAAAAGGTTGCCGAACAGGGTGTGATCTCTAATGTGCCGTGATTCTTCACCATCTACTGTAAGATTAAGTGTACTGTTTTTGAAGACTGCTGTTTTCTTGGCGGGAGGACTACAGTATTCGGAATAATCGCGTACCTGAGCAAAAGATTTGCAATAGTCGACTTCCCGCTACCGGACGGCCCGACGACTGCTGTGATGTGACCAGCCGGAACAGTGAAAGAAATATTGTGAAAGAGAGGATCTCGTCCTGGATACCCGAACGCCACCCGTTCAAATCTATATAAAACTCTATTGACATCTATAGATGCACTTGGGAGTTTGCCAGAAAATCTAATCAGTTAAATCGTTTATAGTAGATAGCATTCTAGAAACTCAGAATAAAAAAGAATACTGTCACTTGCCTAATAGCATTTTCTACATTTCCCTTCTTTTTGCCTCCTTCCAAAGGAATACGTGGTTCCGTATTACGCAGCTCAAATAGCCTAGAACTAGCGCCCAAACCCTGAAAAAATGGAAATGATCCACAATTACAATAGTAGAACGGATGCTATTGAAAAGATAATGACCTTCATGATTTCAATGAAGAAACCAGATATGTTTGACAAACTTGCTGCACAAAGAACAGCGTAGAGGCAGAACGATGACAAATCACCTGAAGGTACATAAAAAAGAGTAGACCGAACACAGTAACACATGAAATCAACCCACCGTAAGTCAGTAGCCCTTTACTAATAAGGTTACTTCCATAGAATAAAACCGTTGAGAGTGCAACATATCCGGTGAATTGAAACTGAAATTGTGATATCTCTGAAGGTAGAGCGTCAACAACTCCAGTCGTCAAAACTATTTTGGAGGTCAACACTATCATACGAATAGAAAATCTCCCACCGATCCGTACATGGCACCACGAGCCAAACCTTCTTTCCTTGATATCATCCAAATGTCATAGATTTTACTGCCGTACGCCGCCAATTCCTTCTTTTCAGCAACCAACATCCTAACTGTGCGGATATTCGTCAATCGTTCTGTCGCAACCTAATGAATGAAAGCGATTAGCAGGGGAGTATATGAACACGATGTTTCAAGAAAGGAGCTGTGATGAGGCTGTTCATTTGGACAAGAACCAATGTTTTAAGACCGACCATCCGCCACTCTTCCTAAAAGCTCTACAAATTTGGTGCAGAATGCCCAAAAAACCAAAGCTGAAGTTTTACGCTGCAAATCAATTTCGGATTTTGCAGATGGAGTCTACCATCAAGGAAGACCTAAATTCGAAAAATCGGTACATCTTTTCTGATTGTTAATCGTTAAAGTGAGAAGAAGAAAAGATGAAACAATACTTGGGAACACACATCAGGTACGGATTCTCTCTCCACTAGCTTTCGTGGAAGTTTTAAATTGAACAACATCACCAATGATCCTTCATCCTCATCTCCCTTGCCATTCCAATTCCCTTTCTCACGCCATTTCATTTATTCTTCAATACATTGACCTCGATGTTGGATGCTCGATTCTCGAGCATTTCAAATCTGGGGTGGAATGAGATGTGACTAGAAAAACTTTCATGTTCGCCTTATTCTCTCATATTCAGCGAACACAAGTTGACCACTTAAAATGTGCTATGTACATATACCACTGGACTCTACTCAAACTCCTACATTTTATACAGAGATAACAGTTCTCTATTACGTTCCACCAAAGCTACCCAAAGATGGGCTTTTTTTCTCCGTGGCACTAAAGTGGTTTGCAAAAAACCTCCAAATTGTAGCCGTTGTATTTCTCGATTAAACAGTTAGCCATGACTTGAAAACGTCAACCTTTACGAAATCACAAGAACGAGGGCGAAGACAAACATGATGTTATCAATCACGACTATTTATCGCCTTATTCTAAACAGTAACAAGGTCAAACCACATGTAATCATCAGTATATTAGAAGCAAGAAAGATTCTATTGAAAATATCGAATCATCAGAAGAATGCTTACAAGGTCGAGGCCAAGTGAAGAAAATTCTCGCTTCAAAAGATATACGCGCAAATTAGCTAAGAGGAAGAAACATTTTGCAGTTGAATCCTATTCAAAATAAGGAATTTCAAAATGTTCCCATTAAAATGTGTAAAGCTCATAGTTCTCCAGAAGAGACCGGGCTGCCGTATCTCGTTAGGCTGAATTAGTAGGGTAGGTGGAAAGCCATAAAGGACGTGCCTCCACTAGGAGCTACAGTTACCGGCGGCGTCTTTAAACTTTTAAAAGCATGATGGTGAATCACCAACAATAACACAGTGCATTACGGGTGACATGGACTTTCAGAAAACAATAACAACAAATTTTCTGGTTCAATAGCAGCCACCTTTTCACATTCTGATAACTGCCAGTCTGGTTCATGCACCCTTACCTGATTAGCCTCAGCAACCGCCTCCTGCATTTGTAGGGTGTACTTGCGTTGCAATTTACCAAAAACTGCAAAGGTTCCGACCATTATCGGAATCACAACAAACATCACTTGGCAAAGAGCGGGAGATGTATAAATCTGCAAAATACGCACCAAAAGTCTGCCACTCACTCACTGCCACTTATAACACCGCTGAAAACATGGATGATGGATGGTTAATAGTATATCTCACCATAAGACCGCCTGAACCCAAACAAGTTAGAAGAGCTCTTGCACCATCACTCAAATTCATTGAAACAGAGTATCCGACAATAAGCGCGTCGGTTGATAGACGAGACACGATTTCGCCCACCTGTAAATCTTTGGAACAAATTAAACTAAGAGATTGGAGAAAGATATTGATGTCAGCAAGGGTAAACTAACTTTGTTTTTATCAAAAAATGCAATATCTTGCCGCAAAACAGAGTTGAAAACATTCTTACGAAGATCATTGATGATGAGCTGACCTGAAACGTGCAGCTTTGGCACACAGCCTGCCATTTCGCCTGATCATTAATAGTGAAAAAACAAATTCACTACAAAAAGTTAACATGCCGGCGGTGTGCATGCAGTACACCCTTGCGGCTATAGCGGCGCCACCAAGAAACAGGAGTCCAACCAACGCAATAGGATTATCCTTGAGAAACCTGAATTCTTCTAGAATTGAAATCGATTGTCATCCTCTCGCAATCCGCTCTGATTTCATAAGTAAATAAGAAATAAGGAAAAAAAGCGTACTTGGCTATCCGTAGAGACAGATCCTCGTGTCCTGGCCTGGATCTCTTCGCTTCATCAAATTCATCTATTAGTTTTCCTAACACTCTAGGCGTTAACAGGAATATTGAACTGCTTATGCCGAGAAATGACAGGCCCACTGAACCGTTTATATCAATAACGAACAAAAGTAGAGCTGGACAAACACATAAAGTTTCTGCACAAAATTAGCCGACGTCGGCATGGGCAATATGTATTCTACGAAGAGCAGATAATGCTGTTCCGTTTACTAAAGATCGAATCTTTCGCATAAAGAAAATGCTTTTCATGCTCTCAGAGGAAACACTCCATTCTCATTAACATACTTCCACCAGTACACCACAGGATAACCCCACTTTTTTTGAGCGACGAAAGCAATGACAAATGGAGAGTGAAAAGCTGGTGTAAAGCGCCATGGGTTAAAATGCACACAGAACGACCAAAAAATTGAACTCATTAGACCCGAGCCAGACCTCAAGAAAAAGACCTAAAGACGCTCTTTCAATTTATGCCGGCTGGTCATGGCAACTGCATCTATTAGCATTTGATGGAGGTACTAATGTTCAGCTTCGCTTTCCACCTTGTTACACTTCAACAAAAATCAATTGATCAAAAGACACGTCATGACATAAAGAATATTTGCGCATGTGATGACGCTGAATTTCCATGAGCAACGACCATTTAAAAAATGAAAACATGTGCTAGTGATGTTTCCGATGAGGGAATCATAAAAATTTGTCAACGACAAACAATCGATAACATAGAAAAGAATGGAACCCCTGGTGAAGTTAGAAAGTTGGCTTCCAGATATGTGCGGTGACAGTAAAAGAATCTCGAGATTCTCTAGATTTTTAATAATCACAAAAGTGCTTTTAGTTTCAGTCACAGGGTCACCCTCCTTGATGTAGTGGCTAACTTCGGCTTCAAAACTGAAAAGTCGAAACTTACAGAGAATTCTCCATTTATAGGGCCCAGCTAAGGCGAATATTTCCTTCAGGTCTTTGAATGTAGCATTTTTTAACTTGACCGATGCGCGTTTCGTCTCCACAGTCGTGACCTGCACAGAAAAAAAGATAAAAAATCAGATTTCCCTGTCGAAATCGGAAGTTTTGTATGACGGTATATATGACAACCAAACAACATAACTATTTATCACAACACGTGCCACAAGCATAGGTATATAGTGACGTGGTTGAGTTGTTTATTTATTAAATGTTGTTTATTTTCCTGTGTGGTCGTTTCGTTTATTACTTCATTTTATTCCTTTCCTCACGCTGTCTCACAAGGCGTATGGAGTGGAAGAATATCAAAACCGCACTTACATTTCTAACAAATGGGCTCCTCAAAGGTGTTCGACCCGCTCTCAATAAATTCAAGCATGGCGTTCGAGATGGTCGAGCTATGGAACACAATAACCTAAAAATGTAAAAATAATCAAATTAGACCCCATTAAACAAACGTTTCTCAAGAAAACGTGCCTTTTTGAACTGGACGGTAGCGAATAGCAACGAGCACAAACAACTCGTCGAACTAGCAGTGGAGTAAACATATTTGGAATGTTTACTGAGATTCACTGTAGGTAAACCCAACACATAAATGTAAACACAACAAGCCTACTCAATCATTACTACTTTACTTATTGGTGGAAAATCAATAGTGAAAATACGTGAGTAGAAGTGTTTCGACAAATCGGATTACGATAGCTGCTCAGATTCTGCAAATTCGAGTCAACTCAGGCGGTTTTACCGTGACGCTCGATGAGGAACCGACGGAAGTTTAATTTTCAACTTCTCAGTTTTCAAAGTACATTTACACTTTGCTATAGCATTCTTTCCTTCACCTGAATGGGTTAAGTCGAATTTGAATGCTCTCTGTGGTTGTATGTATGCTTTTCGAAGGAAATAGTTGTCCACTACCAGTAAGGAACTAGGTTTGCACCTTATGCTGGTGATTTGTCCGGTGAAATTCAAAACGAGCAAACTTTCACTTTGATTTACTTAATTGTCACATTTTTGTGTTTTTTTTATATCGTTTAGCGAGTTCCACTGATTTCAAGCCATTACACTCTATTTAAGAAGGACGTCTAAGTAAGCCTATCTCACCGCATTTTCTCGCCTAGAGGCCTGTAGGGTCCTTCTACGGC